ATAATAAACCGTGCTGTTATCATTTAAATATGTTATTGTTTTAAGTTCTACTGACTGCTGACCGATATGACGCATATTTAAAATTATCGCAGAACCATCAAGAGTTAAATAGTATTAATATGTTACCACGAAAAGTAACTGATTAATAATTATAGTTGCTAGTACAAAATGAACATACGTGAAATGTATGTAACTTTCGGTCGATTTTCGAATCGCCTCCGCTTTCCCCTGCACACCTTATCTCATTAAATACGTATATATTTTAAATAAAATTATTTTAAATACTCCCGACTGCTAACTGGTATGATATTTAAACCAATCGACTGTCATGAGACATTTTGACTGCACGCGGAACGTTGAGGCGGACAGTGCAACTTTCGGTTAATCATTTACTTCTAGTTATTATATATTGACTGATATTCTAATTTTTAATTGTGTCTAAAGCGGCTAAGTATTTTATTGTATTCTTTTTCTTTAGAAATTTATATTATAATTTTTATGTTATAATCGTTTTTTTGTTTACTTACGAATTGACTCTCATTGTGCTTCACCTTGTTTTAATTATTAAATTGTAATATATTACCACGAAAAGTAACTGATTATTAATTACACAGGGCCACAAAATGAATTTGAGGTGGAACATAACTCAAACCAGTTGACCTTAAGGTTTTTGGGGTCGCTGATCACGATCCCGGTGTCCATTTGACCTCATCACGTCCAGGTCAAGGTCAAATGAAGTTCAAAGACATTCATTTGAGAGATATAATTTTTTGACCCCGGATTCGGAAAGAGCGGAAAATTCTACGTCTGAATAGACCCTGACAATTTTTTTAACCGACCGGTAAAGGTCACTACGAGGTTATTCAAAGGTCAAATTTTTCCATTGGCTGTTTTCTGGTACCTTAGGCAGAAATGGGAAACAAATCCGTTGACCTTGAGGTTTTTGGGGTCGCTCATCACGATCCCGGTGTCCATTTGACCTCATCACGTGAAGATCAAGGTTAAATGAAGGTTAAAGACTTTCTTTCAAGTGATCTAATTTTTTAGATCCCAGATTCTGAATGTGCATTAAATGTTACGATCGAATACGTCCTGACCTTTTTGTTGAACTGATCGTGAATTTCATTTTGATGTCACCTAAGAGTCCAATCGTTCTTTTGATCTCGCTGCTGGTATCTCAGCTATAAATGGGTCTATCAATTTTCCAAGTTATTCCGGGACCAGGACTTATAACTGATATTTCATGCTATAAGAAGGGACATTGTAAACCGACATTTTTTGTGCCTGCCCCCAGGGCACCTCCACGCGGTGACGGCGGGCAACGTATCAACGGCGAAGTCCCTGGGTGAAGGCGTGCAAGCCGTCATGGCAGGCACAAGAAGAAGTAGGTGTACGATGCAGGGCCTCGGAAACCCAGTATCGGCGATTGGTCAGGGTGAGCACGCGGGCCCGCAATCGTCGTCATCAGGCAACCGCAGCTCTAATTTGGTGGAAAACTTGGCCACTTTAGAGTTTAATGCTACAAGTTCAACAACAACTCCATGTCATAATCGATTGAACAACTTTTGCGTTGTTTGTTCGAAGTATGTCACTACAAACCAGGGCAGGCAATTCACCGATAAATTAAAAGAAAATTACAAAAAATGTTTCGATCTAGATACATGTGGAATGAAAAATTCCTGGACACCAAAAATATTATGTGTCACTTGCCACATGCGAACCATGAAAAAGAAGAAACAAATATTTGCTTCTCCTACGATCTGGCGAGAGCCAAAAGATCATAACTCTGATTGCTATTTTTGCTTGACCAATACATCTGGGTATAATAAAAACAATAAATCTAATATATCTTATGCATTTGTTCAGTCTGTGACTCCCGCTGTGTTGATTAGCACTGAACAGGTTGAATGTGAAGAACAAATGTCGACTGACGAAGTCTCTTTTGAGACAGAAACTGATAACAACGGTATGACAATGTCATGGGAAGAATCCGAAGATCAGCAAAATGACGATCTGAATGAATCGCAAGAATCAAAAGATGATCAACCCGGAAATTCGCATGGTTTTACTCAAGACGAACTAAGCGACTTGGTTCGAAACGCAGGTCTTTCGAAAGAACTTTCCGAACTCATCGCTTCTAGATTGAAAGAGAAGAATTACTTAGCTCCAGGTACTAGAGTGAGTTTTTATCGCGATCGAGATCAATCATTCAGGAAATTCTTCTCTAAAGCACAGGGTTTAGTTTATTGTAATGATGTTGAAGGACTCATAAATGAATTTAAAAGTGTTAAATATGTAGCTAGTGACTGGCGACTATTTATTGATTCATCAGTCAGGAGTTTGAAAGCTGTCTTACTTCGCAATGGGAACGTATATGCCCCTATACTGGTTGGTCATTCAGTGATTTTGAAAGAGCAATACCATAATCTCGATTTTCTACTCAAAAAATTAAAGTACGATAGTCACAAGTGGCAATTAGTGGGAGATTTAAAAATAACCACTATTTTATTAGGTCAACAAAGCGGAAACACAAAATATCCTTGTTTTATTTGTGAGTGGGACAGTCGTGCCCGAGAACATTATGTGAAAAAGGACTGGCCACTCAGAAACAAATTAATTCCCGGATCTGTGAACATTGTTGAAGATAGTCTCATTCCTAGCCATAAAGTCATCCTTCTACCTTTACATATCAAACTCGGCTTATGTAAACAGCTTATCAAAGCAATGAAGGTATCGGACAGTGATGCCTTCATGTATCTATTTGAGAAATTTCTTAAAATTTCCGAAGCGAAAATCAAGGAAGGTGTTTTCGATGGCCCTCAAATAAGAAAACTGATGAAAGATGATGAATTCGAAATGAGAATGACCAACAATGAAAGAGCAGCTTGGAGTAGTTTCAAAGAAATTCAAAAAAATTTTTGGGAAATAACAAAGACCCCGATTATAAGAATGTTGTCATCAGACTGTTGGAAAACTACAAAAAGATGGGATGCTTAATGACCTTAAAAATCCATTTCCTCGATTCCCACATTGATTTCTTCCCTGAAAATCTGGGGGACTTCAGTGAGGAGCAGGGTGAGAGATTCCACCAAGATCTGAAAGAATTTGAGAGAAGGTATCAGGGTGTTTGGGATATCAACATGATGTCAGACTATTGTTGGTCTTTAAAAAGAGATGCATCGAATACACACACAAGAAAATCCCTTCGTAGATCTTTTACAAACAAAAGAACACGTCATACATGAATTTCTAATTCGGATTCTGTAAAAGAATCTACTACGAAATTCCATAAAAAAACCCACTCTACTGACATCAACAATATTGTTATACAACGTCTGAACTCAACATTCAGTAACAAATGGTTAAACACCATCTGCTTTCACGTAAATGACCTTTAAATGACCTTTAGTGGACGGTTAAAAAAATCCTAAGGTCTTGTTCAATTACAAAGGGAAGGTTCGGATTCGGCGAGCGACAGCGCCGATCAAAATAGAACAAACAACAGTCACAGTAACAAGTAATTATATTGCAACAGATGTTTACATGAACTCATCTGTGGGCAAGTCGTAAAAGCCATTAATAAACAGTTGATACTATGTGCATGCATATAAGTATACAAACTTAGGAATCATTAATAAACAGTTAGTAATATGCGTATGCATATCTACAGATACAAACTTAGAATCATTAATAAACAGTTAGTAATATGCGTAGGCATATATACATACAATGAAAAATTAGTAATAAACAGTTAATAATATGCGTATGCATATATATACCACTGAAGAATCAGTAATATATATATATACAAAGTCCATTTTGGGTGGCGAACAAATGTCACTCTCATCTGGCAACGCTCTCGTGTTTGATTCGCTCGGTGTGGTATCGGAAATCCGCTTCTGAAACAATGTATTCAAAACGGGGGGGAGGGGGGTTATGTTACCCACACTCCGGTGAACTTGTGAAAGAGAAACGGGCTTTTCCCTGTGCCGTCATCAGGCCCCGTAAGAAAGATGCGCTAGGCGCCGTTCGAGACTTTCATCGAACGCTCCAAGTGGTGTTTGCTAGACACCGCCCGAGACACTCGTCGGGCACAATCACTATGACAGTGAGAGAGAGGGAAAGAGAGAAACAATGACCGGCAGCGGCACTGCCTTGGTAGCCACTCCGAAGGCATCGGAGTGAAACTACGTCCGGGCCAGATCACCGGACTCGAGGAGGTGGTAGCTGCCACCGCCGGAGACACTCGTCCGGCAAAGAAACAGACGGTGGTTGTATGACCGACCATTACGCGCGACGCCATGAAGGATGGCGACACGGCCCGAACTTTAGAGACAGAAGAGAATTACCTGAGCCAAGGCACGACTTATTCAGTCTGTTTCAGACGACTATACTCCAGGCAATCGTGCCACCTCCCTTAGGGACATATACCTTTGGCTACGGTATGGAGTAGTGGCCACCAATTCACAGCGGGTCCGGAGCGTCATCAAAACGAGGCGTCGTTGCTGCCAAAACGACCGAAGAGAGAGCATTCGCATTCGTGGTGCGCATAGAGAACAGGGCCGGTTCGCATCAGCCGCGCGCCCTGAGTGGTCTAACGATCTCGGTCGATAACCGAGCTTGACTGAACATTCCGCCCGCCTTCCGAAACGGAGCTTCCGAATACATCCTGAGTCTGATCTAGGGGTAGTACACAGACCTTCGTGATTGGTCTTTTCAGGGTACTGGTGGCAGTACGCAGGGTCACAACCCTTATCAATCCATCATCGCCTGGATGTAGTTGCGAGACTCTAGCGAGCGGCCAAGTGGCTGGTGGGTAGCGTTCATCCAAGATGAGAACCAATGACCCGACCTTGATCTGCGTAGATGGGTGGTGCCACTTCGAAATCGACTGATACCTTTGAAGACATTCCCTCTTCCATCGTTTCCAGAAATGCTCGACCTTCTGGCGAATGGTTTGCCATCGAGAAGGTTGTTCCGAGAGGCTGGGCTCTGGGATAACGGTAGGTGCTTCCCCGATAATGAAATGTCCTGGGGTAAGCGCGGAGCAGTCCTCGGCATCTTCAGTCAGAGGGCACAAGGGTCTTGAGTTGAGGATGGCTTCAACCTGTGTGGTGAGCGTCGTTAGCTCCTCATACGTGAGTATGGTGATTCCAATGACCCTACGGAGGTGAAACTTCGTAGACTTGACTGCGGCTTCCCACTTGCCTCCGAAATGTGGTGCTGCGGGGGGAATAAAGAGCTACTTCGTTCCAAGATGGGCGAGCCCAGTGGCAATCTCGCGTAACTCTTTGGTAGTCGCCTCGAAGCGACGTCTTAGTTCACGGTCAGCGCCGACAAAGTTAGTTCCACAGTCGCTCTGTAAAGTCGCGCAGATTCCACGTCGAGAAATGAATCGCTTGTATGTTGAAAGGAAGGCTTCCGTGGTATACTCAGTGACCAATGTGGATCGCGGATGTAGCGAAGCAGATGAAAATCGCCAAATAACCCTTATACGTCTTAGCTGCCCGCCCTCGCCAAGTCTTAATAACGAAGGGCCCGGCGTAGTCGACTCCTGCATGCAGGAAGAGACGGGACGGAGTTACTCTTGCTAAGGGGAGCTGGCCCATTAGTTGTTGAGCGCGGGTGTGGCGATAGCGTGCGCATTTCACGCATTTCAAGATGAAGGAACGGACAGGAACCTGGCCTCCGACGATCCAGTATTTCTGGCGTATGTAGGCCAATGTGATCTGTGTCTCACCATGGAAGGTTTGGAGATGGGCCTCTGCTATTACCAGGGTAGTTAACCGGGATTGTTTGGGTAAAAGGTAGGGATGCTTGGAGTCGTCTTCTAAATTGGCGCGTTGAAGCCGCCCACCAACTCTCAAAAGTCCGGAGTTATCTAAGAATGGAGAAAGTCGATTCAAGGGGCTCGTCATTGGTAGATGCTCGCCCTTCTTGAGCCGCTCAACGTCGAGCGAAAAATGAGATTTTTGTACTTGAAGTACCCAGAAGCTACAACTGCTTTGTAGTTCGGTTGGAGTTATACACTCTTCACCTGCCTTAATGGGTAGACGGCGAAAACGTGAAATGGCTCGTTTACAGGTCGCGGTAACGCGCAAGAGCTTTGTGAGCGAGGAGTAACGCTCTAAGAGATCCCACGGGGGTTTTTGTCGCCCGATTAAGGAGTTAAGTGTGAGGTGTGAAGTTTCCTCTAAATCTATTTTCACGGGGGGCTTCGGGTGCAATTCTGGCCAATTATCCGATGATAGACGAAGCCAAGGTGGTCCAGACCACCATAAAGAATGTTGCTTAATTTCAGAAGGGTTCAAACCCCTTGAGGCACAGTCCGCGAGATTCTCCCGACCGGGAACAAAACACCAATTGGCGGATGGTAATATCTCCTGAATGGAAGATACTCTGTTGCGAACGTAATCCTTTAATTTCGCGGGATGAGAGGAGATCCAATAGAAGGCAACGGACGAATCTGTCCAGAGACGGATGGGCGTATCCTTTAAGTTTAAGCTGTTTCGCACGCTGGCCGCAAGACGAGTCAGAATTAATGCGGCGTTTAATTCTAGACGAGGTATAGTGAGTTTCTTTAGCGGAGCAATTTTCGTTTTGGAACAAGCAAGATTCACTTGAACGTCTCCATTATGGAGTTCGACTCTTACATAGACGACGGCCGCCATCGCAAGTTGCGACGCGTCAGAGAATCCATGTCGCTCAACAGAGCGTGCGGTTTGAGATAGGCTGAGCCAGCGGGGAATTTCGGCGCTATTCAACTCAGGTAATTGTTGTTTGAAGCGATTCCATTTCTCCTGTAGTTCGTTCGACAGCGGAGTGTCCCAATCCACTTTAGTCAACCAAAGTTCTTGAAGAAAGGCTTTAGCACGAACCACAACGGGGGAGATGAATCCCAAAGGGTCATATATCTGAGCGGTCTCGGAAAGTGCTAGTCGTTTGGTGACGACGTGATCGGAAGATGGCGCAGCACAAAAGCTGAAAGCGTCGCGATGTGGCTGCCACAGCAAACCTAAAATTTTGATGCGTGATGAGTCTAACTCAACAATAGGGGCGTTATCATTTTGAGACAACGATAGGTGCTCTAGCAGAGCTGAATGGTTGCTACTCCATTTTTGTAAAGGAAAACCGCCCGCCATGCAAAGCTGGCGTACTTGCGTGATAACTTCTTTGGCCTCTTCCAACGACTCGGCACCGCCGAAGATGTCATCAATATATCTGCCCTTAGTCAGAGGGGCTATCGCTTTAGGGAACCGGTAACCTTCATCCTCAATGAGTTGTTGAAGCGTGCGAAAAGCTAAGAAAGGGGCGCAGCTTAGACCGTAAGTCACTGTTGTTAGCCTATATGAGATTACTTGCTCGTTGGCGTCGTGTCAAAAGATGCGTTGAAAATCTTGGTCGTCAGGATGCAGGAGGATCTGCCGATACATCTTAACGATGTCTGAGGAGAAGACAAAACGATGCGAGCGGAACCAGAGCAGTACCTCGAAAATGTTAGTCTGTAACTTTGCCCCGGCATGCAAAATATCGTTCAATGAGATGCCGCTGCTCGTACGACTAGATCCGTTAAACACAACTCGAATATTGCTGGAGAGGCTGCCTTTGCGCAAAACTCCATGATGGGGCAAGTAACAAGTGAAAGGATTGGCTGATTCGGGCTCTGCTACTGGGACCATATGGCCCATCGTTTGATATTCCAGCAAGAATTCGGAATACAGTTTCGCGTATGTTCGGTCTTGATTTAAGCGTGACCGCAGCCGCGACATACATCGGAGGGCCGTCGCAGACGAGTCTCCTAAAAGGGTAACAGGGGATTTTAATGGAAGACGAACTATATAGCGGCCATCTCGATCTCGCGAGACAGTGGAGCGAAATTGTTCCTCGCAATCGGCATCGTTGGGATTTAAAGGCGTAATGGCGGACTTGGGAATTTCCTCCTGCTCCCAAAATCGAGTCAAAAGGTCTTGGAGATCGGTGTCAACGAGGCAATGATAGACGCTCCCTTGATTTATGGAGGTACTAGAATTGACGGGCCCTGAAATCACCCATCCAAAGAGCGTTAATTGCGCCACCGGTGACGACGGGTCGCCCTTTATCAGATTCGGGTGAATAATTTGACCATACGAATCGGTGCCAATAATCACATGAATCGGCCCGGGTTTGCCGAAGTCGGGATCTGCTAATCTCAGATTGTCAAGATGACTCCAAGAATGGCGAGACACTTCAAAGAAAGGTATTTCACAGGTTAGCTTTGGAAGAATATAAGCCCGCAACTCGTAAGAGGCAGTCAGGTCAAGCGCGGAATATAATGTAACAGCAACTTGACCCTTTGTGTGCCCGGAGAAAGTTCCATCAATGCCAGTTAAGGGGATCGCGGCAGATTTTCGCGTTAACCCTAAACGATGTACCAATTCCTTTAAGACAAACGATAATTCAGATCCTTGATCGAGGAGCATTCGGACGGTTATAAATCGACCATCGCGTGTCTTGGCTTTAGCTCGGCAAGTAGCGAGGAGAGTAAGTGGCGGAGATTCACTCACGGGCTCTACAGGTTTGGCGTCGGGTGATTTTAGTCATTTTTTCTCAGTTTTGGCCGCGGTCAAGGACGAAGCGCTATCAGTCGAATGCTCTGACGCATTCTTATTTAAAAGTTGGGAGGATGACTTACTATCATTATGCAAGGTGATATGATGTTTACCACTGCAAGTCTTACAACGACGCGGGCTCGTACAACTATTTGCTCGGTGAGGTCCTAAGCAGTTGAAACAAAGCTTTAGTTTTATGATGACGCGCTTACGACGTTCGAGGGACTGAGAAAGATAATTTGGGCAAAGGTACAAGGGATGAATGGACTTACATAAGCGACACTCCACTCCGGTCTTACCAGACGGGGTGGTAGCGACTAGACTACGAATCTTTCTGTCTGAACGACTTTGAGCTCCAGGTGCTCGCCCTTTGTTGGTAGCTGGCTTAGTCACAGCCGGGGCTAAAGTCTCCCACGCTCTCGTGCGACCGGTCACAAATTCCTCGAATTCTTTTAATGTAGGATAGGCGGTCGATGAACCTAGCTTTACCTCCCACGCTTCACGCGTGTCTTCGTCTAGCAGACGAGAGAGTTGATGCACCAGGAGAGGGTCCCAAGAACTTGTATGACAGTTAAGCGTTTGCAACGTTCCGAGGGATTCAGTAACAGTGGCCATCATACTGTTAAGCTCTTGAGAAGATTTCGCTTTGATGGGTTTCAGATTAAAGAGTCTATCCAGCTGGGCGGATATAAGAACCCGCTTGTTCTCGTAACGTGAAGTGAGATTCTTCCACGCTATGTCAAATGTATTATCCGTTACCTTGAGATTTGTGACAAGTTTTGCCGCATCGCCGGCGAGACAGGTTTTCAGGTAGTGCATTTTTTCCACATTGTTAAGCTCTTCGTTATGGCCCACCATGGATGAGAATAAGTCATAGAATGACCTCCAAGTATGCAGGTCCCCGTTGAAAGTCGGCAGGCGAATTTTCGGAAGGCTACCTCGACGGCTATAGGACCGAGTATCTGTGACTGGAGTGTCAGAAGATCGTGTTGACGTATTCGCTACCTCCATCACTTCTTGCTGATTTAACAGCAACGATTTAGCTTGAATGTAGAACTCCTGGCATCGTTCATAGGTACGATGTTTCATATATGATTCCTCGCTAATTCTAGCGGCATGAGCTTGACATAGCTTGTCATGCTCCTCCTGGAATTTACTCCAGTTAACTTCGAGAACGTCCAAGCGGGTATTGGATAGGTGACGAGACAATGGGTCGGAAGATTCACTGTTTGCATCTTCGACTGAATTCTGAATGCGGAGGAATCGGTTCATCTGGAGGGATATCTGCGCCTGCGAGGGATCCATGCTTTTAATTTTTAGCGCTTTAGACGGTTGTCGTTACACCTGTGAATAAACGCTAGGGATTAGAAGATGATTCGTCATTCGCAACATTTCACAATAAATATTTTAGACTGCTTTCAATCCATTCCGGGAACGCGCACCCGTCCGAATCCGGCTCGAAGGACCAAAAAATGTTCAATTACAAAGGGAAGGTTCGGATTCGGCGAGCGACAGCGTCAACCAAAATAGAACAGACAACAGTCACAATAACAAATGATTATATTGCGGCAGAGGTTTACATAAACTCAGTGTAGTTTAATTATTCAAGAAGAATGGACGTTAAACGAAATCATTAATAAACAATTAGTAATATGCGTATGCATATATATAAAAGACTTAGAATCATTAATAAACAATTAGCCATATGCGTATGCATATATATACAATTGAAAATGAATAATAAACAGTTAATAATATGCGTCTGCATATAAATATATATAAACAACTGAAGAATCAGTGATAAATCGTTAACAAGATACTTATGCATATATATACCACTGAAGAATCAGTAATAAATCGTTATAATATGCGTATGCACACATATATATATATATATATATATATATATATATATATATGCAAGTCCATTTTGGGGGGCGAACAAATGTGACTCTCGTCTGGCGACGCTCTCGTGTTCGATTCGCTCGGTGTAACATCGGAAATCCGCTTCTGAAACAATGTATTCAAAACGGGGGGGGGGAGGGGGGTTATGTAACCCACACTTTGGTGAACTTGTGACAGAGAAACGGGCTTTTGCCTGTGCCGTCATCAGGTAAAAAGGAAGCGCTAGGCGCCGTTCGAGACTTTCATCGAACGCTCCAAGTGGTGTTTGCTAGACACCACCCGAGACACTCGTCGGGCACAATCACTATGAGAGTGAGAGAGAGGGAAAGAGAGAAACAATGACCGGCAGCGGCACTGCCTTGGTAGCTACTCCGAAGGCATCGGAGTGAAACTACGTCCGGGCCAGATCACCGGACTCGAAGAGGTGGTAGCTGCCACCGCCGGAGACACTCGTCCGGCAAAGAAACAGACGGTGGTCGTTGTACGACCGACCGTTACGCGCGACGGCATGGAGGATGGCGACGCGGTCCGAGCTTTAGATACAGAAGAGAATTACCTGAGCCGATGCACGACTTAGTCAGTTTCTTTCAGACGACAGTACTCCAGGCAATCTTGCCACCTCCCTCAGGGGCATAAACCTTTGACCACGGTATGGAGTAGTGGCCACCAATTCACAGCGGGTCCGGAGCGTCATCAAAACGAGACGTCGTTGCTGCACACGACCGAAGAGAGTGCCTGCGCATAGAGAACAGGGCCGGTTCGCATCAGCCGCGCGCCCTGAGTGATCTAACGATCTCGGTCGATAACCGAGCTTGACTGAACACAATTTATTTGTAGATCAAGTGTATCTTTTAGATGTAGTTCTTTATTCACACACCTTCGAAGACCTGAAGTTATACCAAAATAAACAAATTCACCCACAATCGTGCCATCACATGATTTAAATTCTTTAATTTGAAAATTAGACGATTCCGTTTGCAAAAATGTTTTGGATATTGCTGGCAGATTTGGAAGTAATCGTCTTCTCAAAATCCGAAGCAGTGAATCTAAATGACAATGTTGAATGCCAGATTGAATTGCCCATTGCCGAAGTTCCTTTACATCGTCCCATTCTTCATCGCTAGCATTATTCTCTGTTTCCTTCTGTTGATTACTATCGTAACTGTTATCTCCATCACTAACATCGCTGCTTCCCTATTGTCTTCGTAATCTTCACTTTCATTTTCTATTTCTTCATTAACTTCTTGATAGTCTTCATTAACGTTTTCCATATCACTAGTTTCTATATTACTTACATGGTCTTCGATACTTTGTTCAACATTCACATTTTCTTCATTTTGTAAATCAATATCGAATTCACTATTTGATAACTGATCATCAGATTTAAAATTAGGCATTGTCAAATCACATTTGGATGTTGATGCCACTCCATAAACATCTGAATTGTTATTATCTGAAAATGAATTATTTCAAATCTTAGAATATTATATACATGACTTTAATGTATATGATTTTGCACAATAGATTTACAATATTGGATTTCATTTTATTTTAATTAGTTAAATTGTGTGGAAATGCTTTATACATTTTTTATTACAAAATATTACTTTATATTAGATTAAGTTAGACTATATTCATTACTTTTATTAATTCATTAATCATTTATAATAGATACACACACATAAACTTAATTTTTAAAAACATCATTTGTGTACTATAAAATTATATAACAAATCCAAAAAATCCTATATTAGGAGGCGAATGAGAGTGCCGTGTTGCTGTTGGTACGCCAATCAATCAACTTGGATATAATGAATCCTTTATTTCAAAATTACATAAAATATAGTACGTTTCGACTCTTTTTTGAGTCTTCTTTTCAGCTATACAATCCAATTGAATAACGAGGTAAATCACATCGAATTGACAGATTTGATGTATTTATGTCTAACGAAATCCAATATGGAAATTACAAAATAATTAAAATAATAATCAAATCATGGATCGCCAATCATCTTGCGCTGTTATAATTATAATAAAATTATATACATATACTTACCACGTAATTCAGGTCTGCAATAAAATGCTATACGAGCTGCTCGAAATCTTCTTACACGAATTCGTGTTAAATAACGTTCTTTCTCAGAATTTTTATCCATAATAATAAACAGTAAAATTTGTTTGGAAATGAAAAATTATGAATAAAAATTTTAATTTATCAGTTATTACTGATTTTAGTTCGAATTATAAAAAATTAGTTAAAATTCTAGAAAGTAATAGTCAGAAAATGAAAACAGCTAAATATGTTATCGCTGATATTACGGAGAGAACTGTGTATAAGTTTGTTATTATAGGCTGTTTTTATTTTTATTTTAATATAAAAGTGTAAACACATGGAACAAACATTCTGTTTATAAATTAGAAATAAAGGAGAATACAATAAGCCAATGATACAAACAAATAAGAGATGTTAGAGAACAGAACTATCTCTCAGTTACATGTGGCTGTGACATATTTCCTAACTTTAATAGTGCGTCAACTTTAACGCTTAATGTAGTCTTGGTTCACGAGGCAAAGCGACACTTTTTTTCTGCGAAATTCTTTCGTTTTATGCAAAAATGCGTCGAATAGCCTTATTTTTTTAATTTTTGAGCTGCGGAAGCTAAACTATATAATTATATGTCTAACTTTTTAATGAATAACGAGCAATGCCTTAAACTTTTGAAAATCATTCAGGGTCATCATCACAGACTAAGTTTCCACCGAGGATTAGAGTTTGGTCAGAGTTCAAGAATCGACCAATCACAGGCGAATATTTCCATCTTACTGTTGAATGAGAGAGGAATGCTCGGTGGAAACTTACAATTAGTCATATACATAGTATATGTCAATGGACAAAGTGGAAGAGGTTCCTCCATTTGCATATTTACCAATAATATTATAATTCGGGTGAAAATAATAATAATAATAATAATAATAATAATAATAAATACTATAAAAGTTTGGCTAATTTGTAATGAATTGAAGATGTAACGAAAGAAATTTTGTAATTATAAGACATATTCGCTATTACTAACTTGCGTGTGGATATATGCTCTATATTTATTTGTTGTTTTAACTATAAAAATTGCCATGATCGAATTAAAAATGTTCAGATCAGGTCTCAGTTGGAAATTTCTAACAAGGGCATACCCTACTGCTTCCTAGTCAGGATCAAATAGGGAATTCCCGACTATTTCTGATTAGGGCATACCCTACAGTTTCCTGAATCAGGCTTGAGTGGGAATTTCCGACTAGGGAATACCTTACCACTTCCTGATCAGGCCCAAATGAGGAATTCCTGAGTAGGGCATACCTTATTATTTCCTGATGAGGGCCTTATCGTACATTAGGCATGCCCTAACAAATTTCTGCTCGGGACGTTGCTACTGTAGACCATCTTCATAACTTAATACAAAATGTTTCAAAAGATAAACATCTTCTGACATCTTATGACTTAAAAGGAGAAGATAAAATGAATTATCTAGCGGGAACAAAAATGTGTTCTGCATCTGTAATCAATCATTTAAAACAAATTCCTAATACCAATGGCACAATTGCATACTTAAATATGATGAATTTCATAATACTATCATTTTTAGATGAATCAACAGATTTACGTTCTCGAGTTTATTACATATGGTATACCGTTTTTTTTTAAAGAATATGGAAGACATGGATTAAAAGGAATAAGAATTATACTGTAAAAGATAATTTTATAACTAACAATTGTTATCTTTGTATAGAACTAAACGCACACAATTTGATAAAATTAATTACTTTTTTTTAAAATAATAGCCAAATTGTTAAATCCGAAATGTTTCATCCTATAAATTTTAGTAGTCAAATGTGTGAAAAACTTTTCCGGGCAGCTCGATCCATGACTTCTACACATTCAACTATCATTAATTTTAGCATTAAAGATTTAATACAACGTATTGATAGAATTAAACTAATAAACTCTATAACAAATGATCTTTCAGGAATATTTATTTTTCCTAGAGAAGACAAGAAAAAATGTAAAATTCAAAATATTCTTACATTTGAAGATATCTATAATTTGAATATTAAAGAAGTCGTTGAGAATGCATTAAAAGATGTCATTGAAGAAACTAAGAAATTAGGTATAAAAATCGAAAATGATGACGATTGGAAAGTTGTAGATATTCTTTACCCAAAACTAGAAAGTGAGTTAAAATTCAATGATGACGTGGAATATGAAATTGACAATAATTATATTACAAACAATATTAACAGTAATACACACGTTGAAAATATTGATGACACTATTTTATTTGATAATCGTGATTTTGATGATTTAGAATTAAAAGATTTTTCAGAACAGTTTCCAGAAAAATTAGTAACAGAAAATTCGTCTTTTATGAAAATTCAAATTGATGATAAAACAATGATTATTAAGAAGTCTTCATACTGTTGGCTTCTCGACGAATGTAATGGTAAAATAAGTGTTGTTTTGTGTAAGATAGTCGTGTCTCGCGTTGTAATGTTACGAAGGCTGGCCCCACGCGTTTTCTCGGTGTGAATCCTCTCGGGAAGCGTGGTCGAGGAATATATATTCCTCTGCAGTTGAGGAGGCTGTTGCCAACAACGGATTTGCGGCCACTGACTACCGGTGGAGCCGCGGAGGGATCTCCCAAAATGATGCAAAGGCACTTAGAAAGTAAATACTTGGACTTTATCAACTGCACGAGCACGCACGGTCATACAGGGATCGATAGCTCTTTAGAGAGCGTAACGGTAACAATTAAATGATCGCCATCGACGGTTACAATGGTAATAATAAGAAGGATCCAGAAGGATCGCAATCGAAACGGTAACGAACGGATCGCGCAGGACTCGCACGGAGAGAGGGAACGAACCGCGGGCGAAGATAACCGAAGAGTCGCAAGCGCGTCGCGAACGATAAGAAAGTGCCAGAGCCGTGTCCAGTCACGCTATTGGTCTAAAGATAACGCGAGCGTTAAATGTGACACGCGCCAACTTACGAAATATCGAACAAAAGCCGCCCCCGTTGAAAGGACTTACTTTCAAAACAAAAATAGAAATAGAAATCAACGTTTCCACATTAATACTCTCGGTGAATACAGTGATTTGTATCTGAAAACCGACGTACTTCTATTAGCGGATATTTTTGAAAATTTTCGCGACACGTGCATGGAGAGTTATGGATTAGATCCGACTTATTATTTCACTCTGCCGGGATACACGTGGAACGCTATGTTAAAGTATACCGGTGTTAAATTGGAATTGCTCACCGACATTGATATGGTAATGTTTGTAGAACGCAGCGTACGCGGTGGTTTAAGCCAATGTTCACATAGATATGCGCGTGCCAATAATGCGTATGTACCATCATATGACCCTTCGCAACCCTCTACGTATCTTATATACTTCGACGTTAATAATTTGTACGGTTGGGCGATGATGGAACCATTACCACACGGAGAATTTCAATGGATAGACGACGTCGATTGTTTTGATGTCATGTCGGTATCGGTAGAGTCTGACGTCGGTTACATTTTAGAGATCGACCTTGCGTATCCACAAAACTTGCATAACTCTCATGTCAATCTTCCGTTCTGTCCTACGAGAGAACGACCTCCTGGAGGAAAACGTTACGAAAAACTTTTGACAACATTGTATGATAAGGAGCGTTACGTCATTCATTATCGCAATTTGCAGCAATGTATTCGACATGGTTTGGACGTGACGAAAATTCATCGGATATTAAAATTTGCACAATCTCAATGGCTTCGAGGGTATATAGAGCTAAATACGCGATTTAGAATGTCTTCGAATAACGATTTCGAGAGAAATCTTTACAAATTGATGAATAATGCGGTATTCGGAAAAACAATGGAGAACGTACGCGATTATAAAGACGTTCGACTTATAACACACTGGGATGGAAGATACGGTTTAGAAGCAATGATAGCGAAACCGAATTTTTGCAGTAGAAGTATCTTTTCCGAAAATCTGGTAGCCGTTGAGTTGCGTAAACTTGAAGTAAAGTTGAACAAACCGATATACGTTGGTATGTGTATTCTTGAAATAT